ATTTAATTTTTTTTTTAATTTCATATATTTTATTTTTGTATATAGTTTTTACATATTTATTTTATGTAATATTATTTTATTCTCGACTTTAGCTCTGTGTCTCAGCCGCTTCATCGGATCACGGCAAATCCGGTCTGGCAGTCGCCTCTTCCATTTTACCGCTACTACTACAGACTGGCGTTACACACACTGTCCCAGATATACGTAAAATCAGTATTCGTACAATTTCGGAAATGATCGACTCGTCGGGTTCATTAATTGCGCCGCATTTGCCCATGTTGATACCGTGTCTACTGAAGGCCACCGGTGAGGTGGAGAACTSTAAGCTGTCGTATTTGTCAACACGCTTGGGTGCAGATAATGAGGCGCAAGAAGCTGTGGACACAGTGCGCGCTGAGGCAGCCAAATCGCATCATACTATGGAATCGATATCGAAGGTGACCTTGAGTTTTTGTGTGTTATAAGAACTGGAACATAGAGCGATAATGTTTTTATCTCTCCTTCTCTCTCTCACTCGCTGCAGTGCATGCGTTATATAGATTACAAAGTGCTGGAGGAGATGACGCCCGCCGTTTTAGAGTTGATCAAAACGAATATTATTTTAGGCACGAAGATTGCTTGTGCGCATTTCGTCTGCTTGGTAGGTTAAGCTTTGTTATTGTTTACATTTTTTTTGTAATTAATTGTAATCATTAATATTTTCTAAAAAAAAAAAATGCAGATCAGCATACGCGTTGGCAAAGACATGTCGCCGCTTGTCGGCAAATATCTCGCTGCCTGCTTTGTGGGCCTGAAAGATCACAATGCCACCGTGCGCAAATACTACGCGAATGCCGTGGGTCACTTGGTGGGCATAGCTAAGGTGATTTATACTGCGAAAAAGTGTCTTAAATTATTAGTTTGTAAACTAACTGTATTATTAATTATACCGTTACTTAGGAGAAGTCAATTAAGAATCTCTTCGTCAAGCTCGATGAACTCTACATGGAGAATTCGTCAAATCGTTCAGTGCCACTCGCTATACAAGCGATTAATAAGCGTCACAACGATTTACTGAAAGACTACCTCGACGATGTATTGCCGCTGGCATTCTTCGCCAAACACGAGGAACCAAACGATGAGAACAAATCGAATATTGAGCTGTGGAAGGAGTTGTGGAACGAGATTAGTCCCGGTGATGCCGGCATACGCATGAATTTGCATGTTATCATACCGAAATTGGAGAAGTCCTTAGATGAGGCYAGTTGGCTGCGTAAGACACAAGCCGGCAATGCTATACACACGATCGCTATGCGTCTCAGCGGCACCATAGAGTCGGAGCAACGTCTGCGCTTAATCAATTTGCTGCTTGGCGAGCTGCAAGGACGCACATTCAAGGGTAAAGAGCGTTTGCTGCAAGCCTTGGCYGCATTGTGTAAGGGACTCGATCGTCATMATGAGATTACGGCACGCGTAGTGGACGCCGCAATGCGTGAATGCCGCAAGGAGGAGCCGCAATATCGCACCTTGGCGCTGCAGGCATTGGGCGATATACTGGAAGAGCTCGAGGTGGATCGTTTTGAGGAAGTCTACAACATGATCTGGTATTTGTTGGAGGAGAAGGAATTGCGCAAAGAGGAAAGCGAAGTGGTGGGCGAGAAAGCGCTAACCGCCGATGAGCGCAATAAACGCGCYACCATTTTCAATAAACTAAAGGAGACGGTTTGCGAGACTTTGGGCAAGTCMTGGCCRAAGCATGGCGTCGAAACGCAWTACAAATATCAGCTGCAATTTGTCGAGCGTTGCTTGTTGTGCTTGCGCAGCAGCACGCGCCCCGTGCAAGTGAGCTTGTTGGGCGCGCTTTGCAAGTTTGTGGAGCGTTTGTGCGTGTTTGCTAGCGATAGTGCACCGCCGGCGCTGCCCGGCAATCAGGAGAAGAAGGTGAAGGTGGACAATTGTGAGGCGCGCGATATGATTGTGGAGAAAATCTGCAATCAAGTGCTATCGGCGGTGATTTATGCATCAGGTGGGTGAGAGAGAGAGGAGTGAATAGTTAAAAAGTGTATATATATATTTTTTTTTTTGTTTTTTTTGCAGCTCTGCCGCACACCGGCCTCAAGAAGGAATCGCTCAACATTGTATTAGTGCTCATTAAACGCTTAACCGATGCCAAAGACGTAAAAAATCTGACGCTGGTGAAAAGCGCTTTCGAGGAGAATTTAGCGAACTTCCAAAAGGATCCGACGCCCGAAGTGCGCTGTCGGGTCAACGATATTGAGGAGAAATTCAGCAAGTTCACTTTCAAGGACGATTGATAAGCATTGCAGGCGATCACTGTAATTGTGGTTTGACGCTTCTAAAAGTGGCCGTTGACGTCACAAATACTTACATACAGAAATGCATATGAATATATAAAATACAGACGATTTGAGTTAATAAAACTAATTAKATTATATCAATAAATAATTATATTATTTGGAGACATTTTAGCTGAATGTCGCTGTTGTTATTGGGGACATTTTAACTAGTTTGTTGTTGTAGCGGAACAGTTTTCACATGACCATTTTACAAAATTACCGTAAATCTTCAATTCAAGGTATGACGTATGCACATATGGTTTTTAGTTTCGAACTAAAGCAATTACACTCYAGTATCCAAATATTAGCCGTCTTAAAAGCAAATTTTTTGTTGTAGATTTTATTTTGGACAACATTGTTATATGAAGTGAAGTTCTCGTATATTTTTTTGCTGAAATAACTTAAATACCTTTTAGGTAATTTTTGGGTTATTTTTATGTTGAAGGAAATTTTCATATAAAGGTAATATAAGTTATGTTCTTTTAGTTTTTGCTGAAAAAACATAAATACCTTTTAGGTAATTTTTGAGATAGTATTCTGTTGAAGAAAATTTTCATATATGTACAGGTAATTTAAGTGAAGTTACTATAGTTTTTTCTGTTGAAGGAAATTTTCATTAAACATAATTTAAGTGAAGTTCCCGTAGTTTTTTTGCTGAAAAAATAAATACCTTTTAGGTAATTTTTGGGATATTTTTCTGTTGAAGACTATTTTCATATATAGGTAATTTAATTGAACTTGTGTTTTTTTTTTGTGCTGAAAAACCAAAAATGTTTCTTAGGTAATTTTTGGGTTATTTTTATGTTGAAGGAAATTTTCATATAAASKTAATGTAAGTTATGTTCTTGTAGTTTTTTGCTGWAAATACATAAATACCTTTTAGCTAATTTTTGGGATATTTTTCTGTTGAAGAAATTTTTCATATATGCAAGTTGTTGTTTGAGTGGCTGAAAAATATGCCTAAATAATTCTGACGGGTTGGTTTCTAGTTACTTGGATAACGAAGAGAATGGCTAATGTGACTGTCAAAAGTTGGATACCAAACCAATTCAAGAAATACGCAAGGCTCAAGGCGACATACAATGAAAATTTCGAAATAGAGGGATCGAGGAAGATAATATCCAGGGTAAAAGTAGTTAAAGTAACTGTGGGAAAGCGGCAGTTCTGGGAACGAAATAGCTGATGAAAATGAAAAGAGTTGGCTATCGAATCAGTCACATGATAGACAACGAAATTTCCGAAAGCTCTGCTAGACGGATCAAGGTGAGTTTGAATGCCTTAGGGATCCGCAATGTCGTCCATATTATCTGCAACGGAACGGAAGGAAGCTTCACATGATCTTGAAAGGACGGTAGGATGGTAGTTGGCCTAGTCAGGGGTCTCAAATTACTGCAAGACCTAAACTTCAGCTGATGTTATTAATGAATCTGGCATTACAAAGAACATGTAGGTCTATGTATGGCGTGACAGCCCACAATATCACTTAACCTAAGTAGAGAGGCCGAAAAAGTAGTAGGTCTCAAATTACTACACGATGTTAATAGTGAACTTTCATCTGGCATTATAAGGAATCTATAGAACTATGTATGGCCTAACAGCCACCCAGTGTACCCTAGCCTAAGCAGAGTGGTTAAAACGTTGATAGCAGCGTTCAGATCAGATCTATGTAATTTGAACAAAACTTAATTTACATCCGATCTTGAGCAAGACATCTTAGGCGAATGCTGTCAATTTATCACACCTACTATTTAGAGCTCTAGAAGTGAAACTGGAAGCGTTCCATATTTACTTATATCAATTAAATTTCTGCCTCTGCTGTGGAATTCTACAAAATGTTTCTGCTAGTATAGCAACAAGCGTCAGACTTCTTAGACTAATACTTCCAATTCAGCACACCTGCTATTTACTATRGAAGCTCTTTATGACCCCATAATGCGATAAGTTTGCGATTGCTGTTAAACTTCCCGAGACTTAAGAAGCTATGCGMCAATTTCAAAGTACGAATATATTCGAGTTTGCACAAACAAAACACAAATCATAATCATTTCTTGCACGCTAACTCATTGTAGATCTGTATGCTTTTATGCACTGATAGCAATTTAGCGTGTTAATCGACTAACTGACATAATAATTTAAATTAATTAGCAAGTACGATTGCAGATATGGGCGTGATTAAAAGTTATTGACAGGCGACGAGACATATTGTAGAATCTTTCCTATACTTAAATACGTATTGAGTGTTCTAAAGGAGAACTGTTTGTATTCAGCAGGGACTCCGATATTAAGAAAACAATGTCAAACGATCTTCTGAATTCAAAATGGTGAGGGATATTATTCAGGTAATGGAAAGAACATTTTTTCAACTATACAACAACACGATTAGTGYCAAAATGCGTTTTCTTCAGCTCTGTTCTCTTGTTTGTTTCGATATTTAACCTCTGGTTGGGATTGTGAACACTTATTTGAAGGTGCCATGTTTTCGCCGCTTCGACGCCTCTTGGGCGCATGTGTCGTTTTGAGTCAAGCCTTTCTCTYCTGCAGCTCTTGGTCGGGGCTGTGTTTTACTATTCGCAGCTAACCTATTTAGTGTAGACTGTGATTGCGGTAGTAGCCTGAGCTCAGCCTTACCAACCAGTGTAAAACASAAGTGTTATACAGCGACCCTTCAACTTTTCAATATCGATATTCGTTAGCATTTCTCTGGTACGAATTGGCCTTACTTTCAAAAATTGGCCTCAATTTCGGCGTTCACCTCCTCAATTGGCGGAAATTTCTTTCCAGCGAGCATGCTTTTGGGATTTGAGAACAAAGAATAGTCGATGGGAACCAGCTCTCTAYTGAATACGGTGGTGGCGGCAGAAATTCGAAGCCCAAGTCATGGATTCTCGTCATCGTTTCACTGACTTGTGATAACGCTATGTAATAGTCGCTTTTGATTGTTCTTCCTTTTTCAAAGTAGTATATTGACTCCATCCCAAAATACAGACGCCATAATCTTGCCAGGCGACTGTTGGCTTTTTCCACGTTTTGTAGCGGGTTCATTGTGCTCAGTCCACGCGGATGATTGTCGATTGGACCACGGAGTGAAATGTTGGTGGAGCTATGCTTCATCCATAGTCATGTATCGATGCAAAAGCTTGGGTTTATTACGCTGGAATATCGCCAAACTTTACTCGCAATGCAACCACTATGCACAGAGCTTTCTTATACCCAAATAATCGTGAATGATATGATGTACATGTTTAATTGATATCTTTAAAGTACCTCTCGACTCTTCACTTCACAGTCATCCAAAATTATTTGGGGTGCTTTTTTGATTCTTTCTTCGGTAATAAATTCTTTTGGGTGTCCACTGCATTCACCGTCTTTGGTGCTCACTTCACCACACCTAAACTTAGCATACCAATCCTTGGCTTTCCTGGGATAGTGTCCAGAAACCCGTCAATAAGCCGAGTTGTTTCTTCTTCTTATCCATTTTCTTACAATAACAAAAACTGCTTCATTAAAAATGATCTAAAACACAAACTAATGGATCATCCATCAGCTGTCAAATTAATACCCACGCCTTTGAAAGGTTAGGGCTAACTGAAAATCATAGAGATTTCATTTTCATATAGTTTTTATATATTAAGAAGAACAAAAAGTCCATCTTTATGTCATCCTCTGCCTTTTTATCTGACCTGCTACATGATAACAATCATATATGTATAGTTTTTTAACGTCAAACCGGTTCTGAAAATCTGTTAGCTACCCAACTCGACTTAATATTTTAATTTAAAAATTATTTCCTCGCGTGTCTTATATATTTTTTTCCGTGACTAGATAATTGTAAATATTTACAAATTTTTTAAGCACAATGAATACAGGGTGTGTCATTAAGGTGGTAAAATTCCAGTTAATTTTAGTGGAAACTTCGAAATTTGATGAATCAGTTTCTCCGAAAAAAGTGTAAAACGCTTGACTTGGTCTACTGAGTTTTTCTTTTTCTGAAAAAGAAATACGTGTAATATTTCCTTGATCTAGTGCAATACCTTTGGCTTCTTTATGGAAGATTAAATACACGTTACGTCTATAAAATTGAATGTATAGCAGATAACAGAACTTCGTAACGCTATTACAACTTTAAAGACATTAGAGTGAATATCTTCTTCCTCAAGCTCACGCTCAASACAGTAAACGTTAGGACTTAAGTGGGAAGAGAGAATCTCTTTTAATACTGATTGAATTGAGATCTATGATAAAAATSGGTTTGTAGACACTATTATGAATAATCGAGCCGTACTTATGCCACTATTGAGCTGAAGTCTTAGCTGGTTGTATTAAAAAAAAAAAAAAAAACCCCAACAAATGATTTGTGAGATGTGAAAGGCTTTGGTCGTATACATATATGTAAATCTCATTCCTTTTGAGATCATAGCCCAACTTGAGCCTAAAATAGCGCCTTCTTCAATCGTTARCTCAACTTTGCCTCACTTTAGTAGGCAAAAGGTAAGGACAATGGAGAATTTTCCTACATGGCCCTTAAGCAGCTAGCATAATTAAATACAGTTCCATCACACGAATAATTAGCGATCACGCGCATGTGATGTTCAATTGTAATAACAATAAATTTAAATAATTTTTCACTCCAAGTTGTTGGCGTGAGTTATTAAAGAGTCTACTAACATCTTTCGAAAATTAAATAACGCTTTCCTAACAGTGTTGTCGTTCGTGTYTGTAACCAGTGGAGGGCGTGGTGGACCGTCAAGATGTTTTGTTTTCGTTGTATAACTGCGTGTTTTTGTTTTTTTTATCAACTGCTTTATTAGATTTTTTGCCTGATACTGTTGGTTAATATTCAGAACAAATTCCAATACGAAATCGTCGTACATTTTCAAATACCAGCTGTGATGGCGCCAGTTTACTACGTCGTTCTTCAAATGTTCTTCGTAGTAACTAATTTAGACATAGGCCAGTTTCGCTTTTTAATGCTGAACAGTAAACTTGACAGCTGAAATGTTGATTAGGGACTGTCTGTTGAGCTTGACCTATCTAAGAAATTGTGGCATCTCGWTAATGATTTAAAGTAAGGTTAGCGCGAGCTCGAGGTTAGTCGTTGAAAAGTAGTGAAACATTTTTTTAGCGAAATGGTCAGTCGGAGGTGGTTTTGCCAACATTTCAGACTATATTCCCATGATTAGACTTATGTATTAGGGTTATTTATTTATTTTTTTAGATTGATAATCTGAAAAATAGGCTGCAGGGAAGTCTTCCGTCCTACAGTTTTCAGAATGTATTTGGAATTCTCATGAGTAAACATATGTACATGTGTATTATGGAGGGTAAAAAAACATATATTTTTTCTGGATTAGTACTCTGAAAAAGGTTCTTAGACCCCTGAATGGATGTSACTAAAAGTATCACCTCTTAGCTATTACGGGAAAGTTCTCCGCCTCACAGTTTACTATTTTTTTCTTATTATCTTCCAACAAATTGAAAAAATATTTCGTTTTATAGATTTTGTAGGGAATTTAATGTTCTACAAGAAAATAAACCTAACCGTTTAAAAGATATTGACGATTAAAATTTGAATACTTTTAGGTAAATTTTTTCAAAACAATTTTTTCTAATGAAAAAAAAGCGATCATTATAAGTTTTTCATCAGTTTGTATCAGTTTTGTAGGAAATTTACTGCTCTACAAAAATGGTAACTCTGCGAGTGCAGTTTTGAGGTTTTATAAGACAATTGCGTCAATTAAGGGGTTTACGGGTTTCAAAAATTCGAATTTTTTATTGTTTTATTATATTCTACAACACTTCTAGAATATTGTCAAGTTGATCACAGTAATCGTTTCGGAGATACAGGCTTGAGAACTTGTGCGCTCTAGACTAGCTGGGCTAAGTGCCTCGTTTTTAAACGCGTTTTTCTTGAAACAGAGTGTTGTGAAATCGATTGGCAAGATTTCTCGAGAACTACTCAACCGATTTTCATGAAATTTTGCACAAGTCTTTGAGATACAGTTCTTAAAGACTTGGGTGAAGGATTTTTTTTTCGATTACAACCATTTGAGCCATTTTGACCCAAGTGCTAAGTTAAGGTTTTAATTAAAGTACGCATTTTTTCACTTTAGATGATCCTGCAAAGAGTTATCCTGCCCACGCGGGTGCATTTTTTTACGAGGGGCCACCGGAAATGGCGTCGTAATGACCGATTTTAATATACATATATTTTCCAAAATTTTARAATTTCTTTACTAATAGTGTTTGAACAATAAGCAACTCTAATAAAACATTTCATTTGTTAAATCAGAAAAAAATTGTTGAAGAAAGCTGTTTTTTTTACCCGAATAAACCCAGGTCAAAAATCATTAAATTGGTTATGAGGTCGTTAGGAGAAGAGGAGGACMGATTGTATCTGTTTTTGACACTAAACAAAAGTAAGGATCAAATACGACACTAATGCGCGAAAAAGATCATGGTACAGGCGTGGTGAAGTTCAACAAATGGTCGCAAAGCCAGAATTGCTGAGTGTTTAGTGGTATTGGAAAGGAATCATCCACTATGAGTTGCTCGAGCCTGGTACAACGATTGATTCAACATTTTACTGCCAACTACTGATGAGATTGAAGCAAGCAACCGAAAAAAAAACGGCCAAAACTGATCAACCGAAGGGTCTTCGTTTTCCATCAGGACAACGCTAGACCACACACTTCTTTGATGACTCGACAAAAACTGGGAGACCTTACCTACTAAGTTTTGATGCATCCACCATATAGCCCTGACCTTGCACCATGCGATTACCATTTGTTTCGGYCAATGCAGAACTCCCTTAATGGAGTAAAGTTGGCTTCAAGAGAAGCCTGTGAAAATTACTTAACGCAGTTTTTCGCCGAGAAACCAGAAAAGTTTTACACTGATGGAATAATGTCTCTAGCGGAAAAATGGCAAAAAGTGGTCGACCAAAATGGTGCARWTTTGGTTCAWTAAAGKTTATTATAAGTATAAAAAATATAAGTTGAAGTTTGATTAGAAATACCAAAAGACTTTTTCGACTACACAGTATTTAACACCTATAGCTTTTAAAGTTATGGCCACTGACCACGAATTTYGGTAGTAAATTTTAATAATTTCGACACGTTGAAAATAATTTAAAAAAAGCGAAAAAAATATGGCGTCCTTTGCTGTCACTATCCGTCTATTTTTGCAGTGCCCTAYTGAAAAAAGTCCACTTGAATACCTAAATGTACTAACTTTGTTGTATGAGKGCCAGGGAAAGATTGTAGATATTTTTGGCAACAAGCTTAACTGCTTTTAAATAAACATAAATAATTATCGAACAAATCAAGCGATAATTTTTTGACCATGACACCTACTATCTTAATTGTTGAAGTACTTTGATACATACAATTAGCTGCTAAAGGCACACATCAAAATAGAATGGCTTCCACAATTATAATAAAATATATAACATATAATAAACGCAGTATTTGCATGTCTGAAAAATCGAAAGTAAGCGATAGAGGTTTCGTTATCTACCGCGCGCGCAGTTGATGGTATAAAAGCGCTAAAGCAAGCGCCGCGACAACTCAGTCGGTCAAATACGCCAATGCAGCGGGCAAATAATAATTTTTATACGAAATTGTTGCGTAGAAAAAATTTATTGTAAATACATAGAAAAAATCGGCGCGTTTCAAAATGTTTGTAACAAATGTGTTAACCGGTCTTGGCGGCGCGCTAATCGGCAATCTAACCGAGATCCTGGCCACATTGGCCTTCGTCTGCTTCGCGCTCTACATTTGGTTACAATATCAATACACATATTGGCGTCGTCACAGTATACCTTATATTGAACCGTCTATGTTTTTTGGCAATCTCAAAGGTATTATCAATTCCGAGGCTGATCCTTGCACCTGGTTTCARCATTTGTACAATCATGAGAAGGCCAAAAATCTCGCAGCTGTCGGTATCTATATATTTAATAAGCCTTCACTGCTGATACGCGATCTGGAGTTGATCAAAAGCATTTTGATTAAGGATTTTAATTATTTCTCAAATCGTCATTCATCGTCGGATCCACACTCCGATTCGTTRGGTTCGGATAATTTGTTCTTCGCTAAGAATCCGCGTTGGAAGGAGATACGCGTTAAGTTGACGCCAGTTTTTACCAGTGGCAAAATGAAGCAAATGTTTCCACTCATTGAGGAGGTTAGTAAAAAGAATAGAACAATAATATAATTAATTAAAAAGTAAAAAAAAAAATAA